TTGCAATGTCTGCATAGAATGGAGCCAATCTGTCGAAATGAACATGAACCATCTTCATATTCGCCAGTGGCTTCCGATGTTCATAAATTTGGTAGACGATGTCGATCTATCACGCTATGATCTGATGAAGTCTTTCCCAATCTCGTTGAAGCTTAGGAGTCCGTCCTATTTTCTGATGAGGGTTATACAACCATACTAAATTGTTGGAGTTAAATCCCTTTTCATTTGTACCGGGCCTTGGTTGCTTTACTATTCTATCTTTCTAAATCTTTGAAATTGGGCAACCACTTTAACTCTGTATGATCTGTTCGAAAAAGGTCCGTAAAAGTACTTGTAGAAATGTTTTGTTGCCTTGACCATCTCTAGCAACTCTTTTCTGGTTACGCAGTAGTTACATTCAGGCTTTGTAAGACTTTAGCTGTAATAGTCCAAAACATTTTCTTCTCCGTCAACGATTTGTGACAAAACCGCTCCAATTCCACAGTTGCTTGCATCCGTATCTAGCACAAATGGTTTACTTCGGATGGATATGCTAACAAGAGGCCCACATAATTCTATTTTTAGTCATTAAAAAGCTGGTTCACACAGCTCATTCCAATTAAACGCTTGATCATTTTTTGTGAGTTTATATAGTGCTAGTGCAAGTTTTGCAAAATCCTTTACAAAACGTCGGTAGTATATAGCTAATCCTAAGAAACTGCGAAAATCATTTTTATAATTTGGAGTTGGCCAATTTTTTACCATTTCTACTTTCTGTCTTCACTCCATCGAAAAATATGACATGTTCCAAGTAATTCACTTCTTTCTCAAACAGTTAGCACTTTTTAACGTACAGCTTCATTGAAGGTGATCCATTGAACTGTTCATCATATCGGGGTATACGTCCCACCCATCGAAGGTCCGATTCCAGACATCACTGAAGAGGAGCTTACAGAAGCTCTGAAAGCTATGAAAGATGAAAAGGCAACAGGGTCCTCTGGACTCACAAATGACATTATCAAAGCATCTGGTACTACAGGTATTAAAACGTTACTACAACTTTGCCGTGAAGTGTGGAGAAATTGCTCAATGCCGACAGTTCCGCTATACAAAGGCAAAGATGATCCATTGAACTGTTCATCATATCGGGATATATGTCTGTTAGAACACTCTCTGAAAATTGTCGAGAAAATCATTGAGAGAAGATTAACGTCGTGCATCACAATCGGAAATTATTAATTTGGTTTCCTAGTGGGGAAATCAACAATTGATGCAATGAATGCCAGAACGGAATGAAGATTGCAACCGCATCCTTGAGTTTGCTGAAAAACACGGGTTTTTTTACTGATCACATATTTTAAAAAGAGGTTGGAACATCTCATAACATACAAAAGTGGACCATCAGCCACTTAAATTGATTTCTTCACTGTCAAGCAACAGAACCGAAGGCTATTCAAAAATGTCAAAGTTATACCTGGCGAACCTTGTGTCGCCCAACATAGACTCCTTGTAGCAGACCTGGTTGTCAAAATGTCAAAACAAGGTTAAACAAATGCCTCGGAAAATCAAAACGTGGAAGCTGATAAGCAATATTCATCGAGAAAAAAATTTCAACAGATTGTCGCCACACAGTTTGACCACCAATCGCAATCCAGTACAGATTGGAGTACATACAAAACCATTTTGATAAATGCTGCAATTACAGTTTGTGGGAAAACTGGTACAAAACGCCAGCATGAACGGGACACATGGTGGTGGAAGGACAGTGGACAAAATGCAATAGCTGAAAAAAAGCTGCATACAAGCAATGACAAAAATCAAAGTCTATTGATGACCACAAAGTTTTCCGTGAGAAGAACAACTATGCAAGACTTCAAATTGCACTGGCTCGGACCGATCAGTGCAGATAGTGGCCCACTAAAAGCAAAGGTGAACAAATGAAATCTCTGTATCGTATAGCGAAACAAGCAAAGCTTACGAAAAAAGACATAGTTGGTGCTTCATGTATCAAAAACGACAAAAATGAGATGGTTCTTGAACAAGATGAGATCAAGCTACAGTGGAAAAAATATTTCAACCGTCAGTTAAATGAAATAAATCCCATCAATGTCAACTTTGACGCTCCACCCATCGAAGGTCCGATTCTAGACATCACTGTAGAGGAGCTTACAGAAGCTCTGAAAGCAATAAAAGATGGAAAGGCAGCAGGGCCATCTAGACTCAAAAATGACATTACCAAAGCACGTTACTACAACTTTGCCGTGAAATCTGGAGAAATTGCTCAATGCCGACTGAATGGAACTATAGCATGACAGTTTTGCTATACAAAGGCAAAGGTAATCCATTAACTGTTCATCATATCGGGGTATACGTCTGTTAGAACACTCCATGAAAATTGTTGAGAAAATCATTGAGAGAAGATTAACATCGTGGATCACAATCGGAAATAATCAATTTGGTTTTCTAGCGCGGAAATCAACAATTGATGCAATTCACATCCTTCGGCAACTGCAAGAGAAGTACCACGCAAAGCATCAACAACTATCACACATTTTTGTAGACCTTGAAAAAGCATTTAATCGAGTTCCCCGTGAAGCAATCAGGTGGAGTCTACGTCGACAACTTGTTCAACGTCAACATCTTGCTCGACTTGTGATGGAAATGTTACGAATACTAAAATTCTCGTCAGCACAACGGTTGGAAACACAGATGCATTTGACATCGGCGTTGGAGTTCACCAAGGCTCCATTCTCAGTCCACTGTTATCTATAACTGTGATGGAAAAAATCACAAAGCCGATACTCACTGGTGGCATTTGGAATCTAATATATGCTGATGATATTGTTTTAACAGCCACGTCTGAGCAGAATGCAGCACAGATGTTTGAACATTGGAACACCAGACTGGCCGATCATTGATTCAAAGTCAACATCAGCAAAACCAAAGCAATGAACACTGGTGAACACTGGTGAATCTAATCCACAGCTACTAGACGATGGCCCTGTTCAGTTTGTAAAGCTTGTGTAAAACTTTATTAAAACTATTTAATAAAGTTTCAGTAGTGTAACCAGTGGTGTCACAAACGTTGTTCAAAAATAATTGGTAATTTATCTAAAGTTTCCAATTTTGTTTGTCCTGCTTGCATCAATCCACATCAAAAAATTTGACATAGCAATGTTTTTGAAGCTATAAAGGTAGAAAAGTCACATCGTTTCAATATCTAGGGGATGTTCTGGATTGGACTGGAACAGCTGAAGCTGCCGTTTGAGCACGCATACGTGCAGCCTGGAATAAATGGCTATATTGATGCGGCGTGACATCCCACTACCACTACGATCAAGACTTTATAAATCTGTGATACGTCTGGTGTTGTTATATGGTGCAGAAACATGGCCAATGATAAACAAACTGAAACAACAATTTCACCGAACCGATATGAATGCAACGAATTAGTGTGAAAGACCACATCAAATCAACCGAAATCCTGTGTCGTGCTGGTTTAGATGATATAAAGGACGAATGCCGGCAACACCGTCTGAGGTGGTTTAGTCTTGTCAAACAAAGTAGAAACAGTGCCATAACTTCTCTTACAGATGTTGAAGTACCTGGCACACGTCCCAAAGGCCGTCCAAAGAAGTCCTAGACGCAAACAATCGAGCAAGACTTGAAAGCTCTAAATTTAAATGAAATGGATATAACTGATCGCCTAATTTGGAGCAAAAAATTGATGGCAAAGAAAACAACGTCCTACCTCGGGAAACCGGGTCTCTGGACTGGAACTTTCTGAGCTTCTGTAAGCTCCTCTATAGTGATGTCTGGAATTGGACCTTCGATGGGTGGAGCGTTAAAGTTAACATTGATGGGATTTGTTTCGTTTAACAGACGGTTGAAGTATTCTTTACACTGTAGCTTGATCTCCTCTTGTTCAAGAACCATCTCATTTTTGTCGTTTTTGATACATGAGTGTCTTTTTTCGTACGCTTTGCTTGTTTTGCTATACGATACAGAAATTTCATTTGTCAACCTTTGCTTTTAGTGAGTTACTCTCTGCACTGATCTGTCCGAGCCAGTGCAACTTGACGTCTTGCATAGTTGTTCTTCTCACGAAAAGTTTTATGGTCATCAAGAGACTTTGATTTTTGCCTTTGCTTGTATGCAACTTTTTTTTCAGCTATTGCATTTTATAAACTGTCATTCCACCACCATGTGTCACGTTCATGCTGACGTTTTGTACCAGTTTTCCCACAAACTGTAGTTGCAGCGTTTATCAAAATGGTTTTGTATGTATGTACTCCAATCTGTACTGGCCTGCGATTGGTGGTCAAACTGTGTGGCGACAATTTGTTGAAATTTTTCTCGATGAATATTGCATTTCAGCTTCCACGTTTTGATTCTCCGAGGCATTTGTTTAGACTTATGTTTTGACAGTTCGACAACCAGGTCTGCTACAAGGAGTCAATCATGGGCGCCGAATAGCCTTCGGTGTTGTTGCTTGACAGCGAAGAAATCAATATGCGTGGCTGATGGTCCACTTTTGTATGTTATGAAATGTTCCAACCTCTTTCTAAATTATGTGTTCAGTAAACAATACCCGTGACTTTCAGCAAACTCAAGGATGTGGTTGCCATCTTCATTCCGTTTTCCATAGCCAAAACCGCCAGGTACGTTGTCAAAACCATCAGTTTTCTTTCCATCGTGGCCATTGAGATCGCCTCCAATCAGGATTGTTTCAGATTTTGGTATTGTTGAGATGGTGTCAGAGAATGCAGCCCAGAAGTCATTTTTCATCTCTTCTGATAATCCTTTTAATATCTTGATAATCCTTCCTGGGCTAGCGGTTTTTTGACAAAAATTCCAACACCGTTTTTGGCCGTCTTTTGACTATTCCAGATTAGTTTATATTTTTCTTTGTCTGAGTTGACATGACAGACACCATTCGATTTCCATCGGGTTTGCTTGAAGGCAGCAGATGTCAATCCTTCTACGCTTGAGCATTTCTGCGATTTCCATGCTGCGGCCAGTCATGATCCAACATTGAGCGTTCCAAGTCTAAGTACTATAGAGGAGCCATTCTGAATATTTCTGCATACTTTCCAGGGATTCTTGGCACCCCTTGACCACTTAAGGCCTGCTGGAGACTAGGAGCCGTTGTTTTTTTTTTTGTGATGACATAAGAGTAATTTGAGAAAGTTTTTACATCCGGACACCCATCCTGACGACAACCACCAGTTATAAGCGGTGGGCCTAGCCTTTTGCTCAAAAGCACGTAAGGCAGCGTGGATGCATTTTTATGTCATGCCCAGGACTTCATTTTCATAGGTAAAACCTTATTTTTTCACCCCACCCTAGCCTAAACTAACTTGTATAAAGGAAATTAGCGTAATAGTGATGACGATGACGACGCGAATGTCGACTTTTGGGGCCACTCGTCGTCTATTGTAGCGGTAATAATGCGAGTAGTACTCCTCTGGCGAGAGAAAAGAAATTAAAATTATTTTTAACCATTTAAAATCTGGCTAACGCAAATTTCTGTATAAATTAACGGTAATTTGCATAAGTTGACGGTAATTAACATTCATTAACGATAATTATTGTGAAAAAATCTATTCAACCTTGATGATCTAGCATGTAGTCATAGTTTGATCGGCTCTCTTCATCTCTCAGTGTCTCGTAAGCCGTTGCAATCTTTTGAAACATAGAAGCTGCTTCATCCTTATCTTTTTTATGCCTATCAGGATCGGGTACATACACACATACATAGACATACATACATACATATACATAAGTAGTTAAGTAAACATGACATGACATTGAGATTAAACTATTAGAGAATCTTAATTCTTAACTTGTCAAAATAATATTAAAAACATTAATACATTTTTAATTAGAAAATATTTGCTTAGTATTTGATTTGACAGTAGTTTGTAGTTTGCATAGCTGGTGTAGGTAACAATTCAATCAAGTGTCAGCAGTGTAACCAGTGGTGTCACAAACGTTGTTCAAAAATAATTGATACTTTATCTAAAGTGTCCAATTTTGTTTGTCCTGCTTGCATCTATCTACAACAACAAATTCGAAATAGCACTGTTTTTGAAGCAATTAAGGTAGAGAAAGTCACATCGTTTCAATATCTAAGGGATGTTCAGGATTGTACTGGAACAGGTGAAGCTGCCGTTCGAGCACGCATACGTGCAGCCTGGAATAAATGGCATCTCCTTGCCTCTATATTGATGCGGCGTGACATCCCACGCTGACGAAGACAACGATGATGCTTGATCCATAGAACAAAAAAACAATTTTTGTTATAAATTAATTTTTATGCCATATCCATTATATCCATGATTTTACGTTAAAACGTTAATATAAAACTACGATCAAGACTTTATAAATCTGTGATATGTCTAGTGTTGTTATATGGTGCAGAAACATGGCCAATGACAACCAAACTGGAACAACAACTTCAACGAACCAACATGGAGATGCTTCGAAGAAAACAACGTCCTACCTCGGGGGAACTGGGTCTCTGGACGCAAAACGAAGATTGATTGATTGATTGAAACGAGACAAAAACTTCGCAAGTGGCAAGCGATAATTCCAGATCAGACGATTAATCAAAGACGCTGACGAAGACAACGATGATGCTTGATTCATAGAACAAAAAACAATTTTTGTTATAAATTAATTTTTATGCCATATCCATTATATCCATGATTTTACTTTAAAACGTTAATATCAACATTCTAATAAATGGGTGTCAGTGCTAATAGCAATTCACTTTTAAACATATTTATGCATTAATCGTCCTTTTGCTTTCACTTTTAAATTTTGAATTTCGATTGCGTTGAGGTTCTAAAGTTAAGTTTTGCCCTGAAAAAAAAACAAATAAGCAGGAAAACAATTTATTGAATTATTTAAAAAAATATCAAAATCGTTGTGTTGTGATGAATCGAAAACTTAGTTGACACAAGAGTTGGAAGTAGATCTGAGTCTGAGAGTCTTGTGAATATTAACAATGAATTGGAGCTGAAGGGCAATGAGAAAAATATTTCGTCCTTATCTATCCCCAAAGATAATTTTGATGCAACATGTTCAAAAACAAAAAAGACATAGCTGATTACGTCGGCGTAAAATTAAACAAATATGAAAAATTGAAGCAAGAGACTTGCTTTGGAAACCAACAAATACAGTAGTTACAAAACATTTATTTACGATGATACAGGAAAATTTACAAGACGCTTTCAATTATGATTGGTTACAAAAGTTTAAATGGCTTGCTTATTCAGAAAAAGGTAAAGGCGTTTATTGTTTACCGTGTGTAATATTTTTAGCAGACAAAATGGTTGGTAAAGGTAAACATAAAACAATTATAACTGTTATCTATGAACCATACACAAATTTTAAAAAGGCTTTGGAGTCTTTTAGACAACATGAATCAACAGTGTATCATCAAAATGCTGTTTTTACAGAAAGTAATAAATATTGAAGCCATTGTTTCTAATAGAATGGATAATATTGATAAACAAATAGATACTAAAAAAAAAAAAAAAAGCAGTAGATAATATAGAGAGACTTAAACCTATAACAGAATCTGTACGTTTTTGTGGTCAGCAAGGCCTTGCATTAAGAGCCAATAATGAAGTAGGACGGATAAATTTAATAACTCCAAAGGAAAATGATGGTAACTTTCGAAGGTTAAGATTTAGAGCCAATGGAGGAGATGTAGTTTTATAAAATCATTTACAACAATCTGCCAAAAACGCTTTATATATAAGTCCTGAAATACAGAATGAAATAAATTCATTTGGTTATCTCATACAGAAAAAAGTTATCGAAAAAGTTCAACAAAAACTATTTTTTCAGTTTTAGCGTATGAAACAACTGATATTTCACAAATTGAACAATTTTCCCTGTGTATAAGATATGTGAGTAATGATGACAATGGTGTACCAATTTTAAGAGAAGATTTTTTATCACTTGTTCCACTATATGATGTTTCTGTTCAAAGTCTTGCAACGGTAATTGTTGATGAGCTTAGTGAATTTGGTCTTCAAATGGAACATTTAAGAGGACAGGGATGTGATGCAGAATCTACCAAGAGGGGTGAATTTCGAAGAGTTCAACCTGTTATAAGAAAACAATTTCCGAAAGCTCTTTATGCACATTGTTTATCTCACTGTTTAAACTTTTACTTAACTGATTCTTCTAAAATTCAAGAAATTCAGAACGGTATGAAAATTATTGCAGAAATATGCAATTTCTTTCGGTTAAGTCCAAAGCGCACAAAAATATTGGAAGATAAAATAAAAGAATTAGATCCTTCAATTAAAAACAAACGAATCAAGCAAATGTGTGAAACTAGATGGTGCGAGAGACATGAAGCTTGATTTTTTTACCAGAAAAAATTAATGAAACATTTATGGATCAATCTCAAAATGGCTAATTTGTTGTTAAATACAATAAGTAAATGTAATTTTGTTATAGCAGCTTGTGTTTTAAGTAATTTTCTTGGACTTACATACAACTTGTCGAAGTTGTTGCAGACTTTGAATCTGGATTTCGTAACTGCAATGCAGGCGGTAAAAGATGTAACTCAAGTACTTCTTAACGGCAGAGAAAATGGGGATGAAGAATTCAAAACTATATATACTTAAGCCAAAGAACTGTGTGATGAATTAAATATAAAAATGGTTATTCCAAGAACCACAAAATTTAGTAAAAATCTATGTAATATGGCTTCACAGGATCCGGAAAATTGTTTTCGAATATCCATTTTCAATTTTTTCTTGGATGATTTAATGGCTTCACTGAAAGATAAATTTTTTCAACACAACACTTGAATTACTTCTTTACAATTTATTTTACCTGAAAGGTGTGATGTACCCTTTAAAAATGTTTCGAATTTTATAAAGATGACTTCCCAAAACCTTCTGAAAACATAACAAAAAGTGAATGGTCATTGTAGACACAAAAAATAGAAAATGAGAATAAAAATAGGCCAAAAACAGCCATTGAGGCATTGGCAGAATCCAATTTCAGCCTATTTCCAAATATTCAAGCACCGTTATCAATTATGGCAATTCTACCAGTACCAACGTCAACAGTTGAAAGAAATTTTTCAACACTGAAAAGAATTAAAAATTATTAGAGAAATATCTCTAATGAGGAGCGACTCATTTCATTGGCACTATTATCTATTCATCGGGATATATCTATCCAAGTGCAAATAAAATCTGCAAAGGTTATCCCCCTTTTCAAATCTGGGGATCCTCTGGATATTAAAAACTATCGTCCCATTTCCATCATCTCCAGTCTTTCCAATAAGTTTAACTTATTGAAAAAATTATTTTTTTAAACTTATCTAGGTTCTTAAACTTTTTTCCCCTCTAACTCCTAGTCAATATGGCTTCAGAGCCAAATATTCCACTGAATTTGCTGTTGCCGACGTTATCAATTTTATTTCTAATTCTTTGGAATCTAAAAAATTTTGTATTGGCTTGTTTCTTGACCTATCAAAGGCTTTTGATTCACTTGATCACTCCATTTTCTTATGTAAATTATCTACACGTGATACAAGTGGTTTGAATCCTACTTGAAAAATCGCTATCAATATGTTTGTATTAATAATTCCAAATCCTCGTCTCTTCCTATAACATCCGGTGTTCCGCAAGGCTCTATCCTTGGTTCTCTGCTTTTTAATATTTTTATTAACGACTTTATCAATTCTTCATTATTATTGAAATTTATTCTGTTTGCAGATGACTCCTCTTTATTATACTCACACTCAAACATTACTAACTTGGTCACAACCTTTAATGATGAATTGATTAATGTTTATGACTGGGTGCAATTTAACAATCTAAGAATTAATATTTCGAAAACTAATTTTGTTTTATTTGGACCTAAAATTTGTACAAATATCGTTAATGTTGATCTCTTTTTAAATAATAACATAATCAGTAGAGTTCATTCCTTGAAATTCTTGAGCTTAATTGTCACCTGTAACCTATCTTAGTCAGATCATGTTCAATATGTTGCTAAAAAATTTCTAAGAATTTGGGTATTATATATCGTCTCAGATGTAAATTTCCTCGCCATATTTTAATTATGTTATACAATTCAATTATTTTGCCATATCTAACATAATGTGTTTCGATTGGGGGGTTTACAACTAAATCTAATATTCATGTTCTTAATTTATATCAAAATTATTTTTTAAGAATTTTGTTTGGCTTGCGAAAATTTGATCATATCAGTTACCTTTATACTTTTTGTAATATTTTTAAGGTGATTCAATTACATATTTTATTTTCTTTATTATTTATTTTAAATTGTTTATGCTCAACTATTTTTTTTATTATTATTCTTTAAAAATCAGGATCTGACAGACGCAGTAAAACAAAATTAAACAAATAAGTGAGAAAATAAATACAAAAAGTGAGGAAGAGAAATGATAAAACATGAAAAATAAAATATGTTAGAATAAAATAAATAATAATAATAAGAGAAATAAAAAAAAAGTAATTGACGATGGAATATAAAATGAAGTAACGGCAAATTGATAGACTAGATGATGACATAGTGAGGTGATCGATAAATAAAGGCTAGGCCTGTGTGTGAAAAAGTTTAATGAGTATTAATATATTTGATGACTTATTAATAGACTATATGATGACTTAGTGAGTTAGTGAGGTGATCAATAAGTAAAAACTAGTTCAGTAATGATGAAGTTTTCTTAAGTGCTAATATGTTTGAGGTGTCTTGTGATGAAGGTCTTTTCCTGGTATGTAGATTGGGGCGACGACTTGATATTTATGTTTGCGCTGACGAAGGTTGTGTGTTGTAGTTTTGATTGGTGGTAGCAGAGGATGGATGACGTGGTTGTTGTTATTTTCTATTTTCTTGAACAGCCTTGAATTGAGTGTGTTGAATATCTGAGTGACGGTAGGTGGGTAGAATATGATGCAGGTAGATAGTTGAAGCGAATTAGTTTTTTGATGAGAGATTGTAGCTGCTGAAGTTGTTGTTGCGTGGCAAAGCCAGACCAGGATGGAGCTGCATATTTGATGCGTGAGATGATGAGTGATTCGGTGATGTCGAATAATTTGACGCCTCTGAGACCATGTGTTTTGAGTGCGTGAAATGTTTGAAAGCCTTTTGTGATGATGTAATTGATATGAGGTGCTATATTGAGTGTGGAGGTGAATGTGATGCCTAATATTTTTAGTTGATTTGTGCGAGTGATCAGTGATTGATGGGTGTTCAGGAGGTAATGTTATATTTTTACGGCTATTGTGAATGATGAGTTCGAATGATTTATTGAGATTAAGTGAAAGGTTGCATCGTTTTGACCATGTGGTTAATGAGTCGAGTTCTGATTGGATGGTGTTTGAGTTAGATGATGGGATGATAAGGTAGGTGTCGTCAGCGTATTTGATGATTTGATTTGAGCTATGGAAAGTTTTGAGAGTAGAAGGGTTAATGATAAAGGTGGATGTACCAAGGACAGAACCTTGAACTACGCTAGAGTAGATGAAAGAGTAAAGCTAAAAAGAGTAGAATGACTCCTATTAGATAGGAAATTAATTATGATATTGTAAATGTTGTCAGGTAGTGGAAGAGAAGCTAACTTATTTGAAAGTGAGAAGTGATTGAGAGTGTCAAAAGCTTTAGAGAAATCGAGGGCTATAAGATGAACATAATTATTATTTTTAAGGAAAGATGTTATTGTAGAAGTAAGAGAGATGATGGCGGATGTAGATGAGCCTGTTGGTCGAAATGCGAACTGATCTTGTAATAGTGGTAAGATGGATGGATGGTTGAAACATGGATAGATGAATGACCTAACGATGAATTTTTCTAGAATACGTGAGAGAATGGAGGTGATAGATATTGGGCGATAATCTATTGGTGATGATGGGTGTTTTGTTTTAGGAATTGGATGGATTGTGCTGGATTTCCATTGTGATGGGATGAATGAGTGAATTAAGCAGTGGTTGTAGAGTGAACATAAAGTGCTGGATATGAATGGAGCGATGATTTGTAGAAACCATGCTGGAAGACCGTCTGGACCTGTGCCGGAGGGGCAAGCCTTCGTTAGCATGTGCAGGACGGAGTATGGTGTAAATTGTTGATGTTGATGACTTTTGATTGTAGTAGCTTTTGTTGGTGGAATTTTGTAGGACTGATCGGTTGACATGGAAGCAAAGTGGGTGTTGAGTGTGTTGGCATCAATATGCTGCACGGTTGATGTGTTGAGTGATTTCTCAAAGCCTCTAATCTTGTTAACTTGTTCCCACATGGCTTTGCTTCCACGCTTACTGTTAGTGAAAGTTTTTGAGTTGAAGTTGATAATAAGTTTACTGATGTATTTGGTGATCGCTGCGGCTTTAAGGGTGGATCCTAATCTCATGAGTTTATTTTTTGGCAAAGTAGAAATTTGATGAATGGGCTGATAAATGGGGTGTTTGATGATCTAAACGTGATGTTTGATGCTGGGTAGTACCTACTGTAAGTTGAATTAATGATTTTATAGAATTTATCAAAACAATGTTGCAAAAAAATGCTGAGATCATATTATTGTTAATATTGTTATTATTATTATTATCATTGGCACCATTGTTAATATTATTTATATTGTTACAATTA